GTACTGTCTTACTCTTTACAATAAGACTCCCTTTGATAGTTGTGGATGTGTATAATGCAGTAATACGATATTGTTTGTTAAATATGTGTTTCGAATACGTTATTGTGTTTAAAAGGTAGAAACCCAGTCTGAAATGTTTAATAAGCACCTTTTTAGATGTAATATGAACAGATTTGGCTCACGTTTTGGCAAGAAAACAGACAGTTTTGTCCCTTTCTTGTCCTTAATTAATGCATAATAAACATTTATGAAAGATTTATAAAGTGTTTACTGATGAATTAATAACCTATCTCTAAACTATTTATAATAAGGGGAGCCTTATTGTAAGGTGGTACCAAAAGTTTCCACTTGTCCGCTTCATGTTACAGAGTGGAACATTTTCCCTGATGGAGCCAGGCTCTGCCTCATAAACCATTTATCTGTTACCTTTGCACTCAGAGGAAATGAGACTCACCTGCTGGTCTCCTGCAGATTTCATTTTGTTCCAGTGACAGCAGCAGTTTGATGCTTGGCTGAAAAAATCATCAAGTGTAATTCATTCATTTTTCAGCTCAGCATCTGTAAAACTGACTGAGTTTGAGACAGTTTTTTTGTGTTGGTTGATTAACCGTCCGCCWTCTTGAACTGGTCCCAGAGTTAATCAGTTAGATGCACATTTATTAAACAAGCTTTATCTTTGCCTTTCGGTGCTGGGTAAAAAATAGAAATAATTAAGGGTTGTGCTGTAAACTAATAAACTGAGTTAAGATATGTCTAGGAATATTGAAAATGTCATGCTAAAATTAAAAATTAAAAACTGTTGCATCAGCTCGGTCAGTTCAGTGAGTGATTTAGTGGCAGTCAGTCAGGTTTTCTTCCTCGACGCAAGAATTGTAGTTTAGTTTTGCGAGATCAGAAAACAAAAACAATCCCAAACTTCTTGTTTTCTGTGTTTTTGTTTTGCCAACCTTTAGTTTGGCAGCGAGGGAAAAAGTTGCAGAATTTGCCACAGAGACCTTGGTTCCCATGCTGACACATGACCAGCAGCACGACAAGAATGCAGCGCAGGAATGTGAACACAAAGAGAACTGTGAGACTAAAGGGCTGGAATGGTCAGCTGGGAGATTTTTTGACCCGGCATGTCACTTGTTTACATCTGAGAGAGCCGCCTGTGGTCCAGTTTTTAATCCTGGGGACGGAAAAACACAGACAGCACCTGCAAATGTGTGGCTCTGGGGTCACGAGGGTCCCTGCAGCGGCTCTCTGTAACAAAAACATGGAGATAAATATTAGTTTTACCTGTAAGTGCAAAGTTTTTACAGTTTTCTTCTACGATTTTATGCAAAATAACAATAAAAAAACTTTTTTGTGACAAAACAATAATAACACAGATAAGATGATAATACAGATTGAGCCATTTGTGCTAATAATCTGTTTGTCTGCTATCCACTTAATTATTCCAAATTCCAGGCACAGATTGTGCTCTATTTATTTATTTATGTATGTTGAAATGGTTTAATTTTCTAGTGAATTTTAAAGAAAGAGCACAATCTGTGCTCTATAAATAAATAAATAAATAAATAAATAAATAAATAAATAAATAAATAA